TATTCTTATGAAGGCATCTGCCAAATTATAGCATTGTACTTTCAATTTTTGTCTAATTAAGACATTGTACTTTGAAAAATCTGACCAATTATACGAATGAAATTGCTATAGTGGGATAGTTTTTTCAAAGTTCAATGTTGTAGTAGGTGATAATGAAAGTAGATTGCCATTTCTTACATTTAGCCTTAATTTTTATGATTCAGAATGGTTCATTTGATGACCTTGATTCGTCTCAACTACCAATGGTTTCAGAAGCAAAGTCGTGTATAGGTGCGGCTATTGCAGCTTCTGTGACCATACCATCTCAGGTTGTGCGTACTGTCACCTTCTCATTGGCGTGGGACTGCCCGGAACTTGTCTTTCCAACCAGGACTTACCATAGGTGACTCACCAAACCTTTTCTTTTCTCAAACTTTATTATATATCAAAAGGGCTAAATTCAAGAAATAGCAACATACTTTCATATCTTTGTTATTATATTTATAGCATCCTACTTTCATTTCGTCCTATTACATGACCCTACTTTGAAAATCAGCCAAATTATCACAATCTCAACCAAATACAATGCAGTTTTCACAGCTATAATTTTGTAGATTTTTTAAAGTGCAATGTCCTAATAAGAATAATACTGGAAGTGGAATACTATAGGTAGGTAGATAGTTCAAAATACAATGCCTTAATAAAAAGAATTGAAAATATGTTGTAGTACAAAAAATCAAAGTAGGATGCTAATGCTTTAATAAACAAACAAATGAAAGTACATTGCTATTTCTTGCATTTTAGCGTTATATGAAAACTAGCATGATTCTTACAAGTGATGTTTTGTGACAGGCGTTACACCAAATTTTATGGTAGTCATGGGGATGCTGCTGAAAAAATCGCACATGATGCTATTCTTGGTATCTATTTTAGTATTTTAAAGTACATTGCTGTTTCAAGAAAGTTGTTTTTATATATTATTAACAATTTCAGTTATTCATTTTGTATGAAATTTTTTAGAACATGGTAATTGGGAGGCCCAGATAGAAGCATGGCAACAGCCTATCCTTGAAGACAAGAGGCTTCCTGAATGGTAATCCAGAACCTCTAATTTTCTTTCTTTTCACTGCCCTTACTTACTAATCTCTAATCCTATTGCCTTTCTTCAGGTACCCAATCACTCTTTTCAATGAATTATATTATCTCAACTCAGGGGGCACAATTTGGACAGGTAACCCTAATCTTTTTATTTTTTTTATCAAATGAAACCAGCTCAAGTTTATGTTCATAATCATTGTTTTCTTTTTCAGACGGACTACCTCCTGTACACAACTTATCAACCATTAATGGAAGACAATTCTCAATTGATAGATCTAACATGGACTCTCAAAGTAACGGTGATACTAATACAACTCATCATCAACACGACACTGCTGTTAACGTTCTTGAAAGAATGACGTCAGTACTTGAAGAAATCCACAACCCCACATCAAAAATCTCAGCATTCGGTACAAATCTTCTACAAGAAGGAGAAGAAAACATCGGTCAATTTCTATATTACGAAGGAATTGAATACCACATGTGTAACACATACGACGTCCATTTCTACGCATCATTCGCCCTAATCATGCTTTTCCCCAAACTCGAACTCAGCCTCCAACGCGACTTCGCATCCGCCGTCATGATGCATGATCCCCGTAAAATGGATATTTTATCCGACGGGGCATCGGTCCCGAAAAAAGCCCTAGGTGCTGTCCCTCATGATATCGGAATGATCGATCCTTGGTTCGATGTTAACTTCTATAACATCTACAATACAGACCAATGGAAAGATCTAAACCCTAAATTCGTCCTCCAAGCTTACAGAGACGTGGTGGCTACCGGAGATAAGAATTTTGCGAAAGCTGTTTGGCCTTCAGTTTATATTGCAATGGCGTACATGGAGCAATTTGATAAGGATGGAGATGGGATGGTTGAAAACGAAGGGTTTCCCGATCAGACGTATGACACGTGGTCGGTTTCGGGTGTCAGCGCGTATTCCGGTGGGCTGTGGGTGGCGGCGTTGCAGGCGGCGTCTGCTATGGCGGGTGTGGTCGGTGATAAGGGTTGCGAGGAGTATTTTTGGGCCAAGTTTATGAAAGCGAGGAGTGTGTATGATAAGTTGTGGAATGGTTCTTATTTTAACTATGATGATAGTAAAGGGAGGGCAAGTTCGTCCATTCAAGCTGATCAGTTAGCGGGACAATGGTATGTTTAAATTTGAACTGCCTTCATTATAAAGGGCATTTAAGACATTTAACATTGGTTGTGAATTGTGGTAGGTATGCTAGAGCATGTGGGCTTTCTCCTATTGTTGATGAAGAAAAGGCGAAAAGTGCATTGGAGAAGGTTTACAATTTCAATGTATTGAAAGTGAAGAATGGGAAACGTGGAGCTATTAATGGGATGCTACCCACTGGTGAACCTGATATGTCATGTATGCAATCAAGGGAAATTTGGACAGGAGTTACCTATGGAGTTGCTGCAGGTATGATTCATGAAGACATGATCGACACTGCTTTCCACACTGCAAGTGGAGTGTATGAGACCGCTTGGTCTGAAGAGGGATGCGGGTAAGTATACTTAATAGCAACCTACTTTCTTTCATTTGTTTTTTTATAGTATCATACTTTTGTTTCTTTCCATAAAATCAGTGTTATCCAAATACAAAGCAATTTTCATCACTATAGTTGGGTAATCTTTCAAGAAAGCACAATGCTATAATTAGATAGATTTATCAATGTACAATGCGTTGATAAGCAACAAATTTAAACTACACCTCGTGACTGGTTTTTTTGCAGCTATTCTTTTCAAACCCCAGAAGCTTGGAATACTGATGGGCACTACAGATCTATAACATACATGCGGCCTTTAGCAATATGGGCTATGCAATGGGCCCTTACACAACCCAAAAGGCCCAATAAGGAAATGAAGCCCGATTTAAAGCCTGAATCTCTCCGGAGGCAACATGCTGGGTATACAAAAGTGGCTCGTTTGCTAAAGCTGCCAAAGGAGCAAGACACAAGAAGCATCTTGCAAATAATATTCGACTGCACTTGCAAAAAGATGAGCACTTAACATTTTCAGTCTAAGTGCTTTGTATTGATAACTGTGTCTTCAGAAAACCTCAATTTATTACATACTTGAAACTATATGCATAACTCCACCACATGATTATATAAAAGTACAGTTACCATTTGTTGATGTATATGGTTTGTTTGATGGATATGTCGTGGAATCTCTTATAAAAGTACGTTATTCAGTTTAGATCAAGTAACAAAGTAAACGAAGAAACTCAAGAATGATAATTTTTCATTTTGATAGAAGGGGAATATCTTTTGTATTTTGAAAGATAAAAACTCAAAACACAAATTTTTTGTTAAATTAATCTTTTTTTTTTTTTTTTAATTTGTAAGGTTTTTTTTTTTTCTATAGATAGATAAAGGTTGATTGTATTGTCACCCCTCTTAGCTAAGGGCATGGGTATGGGTAGGGGTGCAAACGAGTCAAGCTACTCGCGAGCTACTCGGGATCGGCTCGTTAAAAACTCGACTCGAAACCAGTTTTAAACAAGCCCGAGCCGAGCTCAGGCTTAATATTAAGCTCGTTTATTAATCTATCTCGAGCTCGAGCCTACGTCACTAAACTCGATTAGGCTCGCGAGCCTAAACGAGCCTTTATATAATATAATTTATTATTTTCATAAATTAAAATAAAAACATATTTGGGAAATTATGAATTTCGGGTATTAGTAAACGAGCTTCTTAACGCGCTTGAGCCAAGCCTAAGCTTATTTAGGCACAACAAATGAAAAACGAGTTGAGCCCGAGCCCGAGCCTAGCTTGTATAATTCTTAACGAGCTCATGCCGAGCTTAGTAAAAGAAAAGCTCGAATCGAGCCGAGCTCGAGCTTGAGCCTTGTATAACTTAAAAGAGCCCGAGCCTAGCCAAGCTCGGGCTCGGCTCGGCTCGTTTGCACCCCTATGTATGAGGTAGTGGTGGATCCAAAACGAAATCTAACCGGTGTCCATTATTTATAAAAAAAAATACATACAAGTATAAAATTGTGAAATTATATATATATATATATATATATATATATATATATATATATATATATATATATATATATATATATATATATATATAGGAGTAGGATCAAATGAAAACGCCTAAAAGGTTGAGAACGCGAGAACACTTATCAGCCAATCATTTTATTAGGGTATTTAAGTAAATTTGTATTTAATATAATTTTTAATTAATATAATACAATTAATAATCAATATATTATCCATTAATATTTACCTATAATTAAGGGATATTCCATAGTTATCGTTCAAGGAGATATGGAATTGAAGATACGATTTCCAGTATGCCATTCCTGATTTAGTCAATCGACATTTGTATCTGTAACATCGTTTACGGTTGAAGATAACAACGTTGGAATTTGTTAACCCAAAATATCGATGTCGGACTGTTTTGATTATAGTAGCGATGATACCGAAGATAATGATCAATATGGCGACGAAGCATTCGACAATAATCAATATGATGAAGACGATTTCTATCATTCGGATGATTAATACAGCGGAAGAAATCAATTATCTGATTATGCGAGTGAAGGTAACAAATGAGAACAACATCAACATCTTTTAAATACAGATCATGTATTACAGTCATTGAATTTTTGTATATGATGAATAAGACCTGTCATTTATTTAGTACATATTAGTATACGATTAATCATATACGTTGTATGTATTAATTAGTTATTGCTGGTGTATATCACACATCATTGTACATTGTTTCTTAAGTTTAATACAATGTTGATTAAGTTTGATAAGCATTGGTGATTATGCGTTAATACGATTAAAATGAGTAAACACTTCAACTTTGATTACTTTTTCACAGACGTTGATTATGATTATAAAATTGCTTAGTTTATGTATACGTAATTGATCGAAATTTATATCATGTCTCTCATGTCGCATTATTGTTTTTTGTTGTCTAAAAAAACAGGTACAAATCGAACTGATTATGAAGAGGAATCATTCAATAGTAATGTTGTTGACTCGCCCGGTGGGAAAACCAAGTTGTGGAAACCTATTGTTCCTAAAGAATTTATGCCAGATGTAGATGCTACTTATCAATCATTAGAGGAGGCGGTTGAAATGTATAAATTATATGCAGATAAAGCAGGTTTTGGTGTCAGGTTAAATACAGTAACTAGGTTTGGTGACAAAACCATTAAAAAAGGTATGTAGTGTGCAACAAAATGGGTAAAATACCTAACAGATCAGCTGACACTTCGGATCCTGAGGGAAGTGGAAGGAATAAACGAAACTCAAACTTCAAAATCACGGACTGCAAGGCATTGATAAAGTTTGAAAGGTTACATATGCGAACTAATGCTTGTAAAATATATGAGTTTGAAGAGAATCACAACCACCCCCTAGAAACTAAAGAAGACAGATGGTATTCCAAACGTGCACGACGACTTAGTTATAAAGACAAGGAGTTTATAGTGCATTCTTCAACATCTAACATTGGTGCAACAAAGGCACATAAGTTACAAGCTAGTTTGCAAGGAAGTTATGAAAACGTTGGCCCTGAAGCAATTGATTATAAAAATTTTAGAAGGAAGATGGGAAACATTATAGGTGACAAGGATGCACAGCTGGTTGTTGACAAAATGAACATGAGGAAAGATGAGTTACATAACTACACATTTGAGTATAAATGTGTTGATAGTGTGTTAAACGCAATGTTTTGGGCGGATGAAACCAATAAGTTATATTACAAAGAGTTTGGAGATGTGATCTCATTTGATGCTACATTCCGAACAAATAAGTAAGCTCTTATAGTTATTATACATTTTTTTTCTTTAAATATGAATATTGATGTTTTTTAAGTTTATAATCAATGTTCAATTTGTTTTTAATTGCCTTTTTAATACAGGTATGGAATGATTTTTGTGCCGTTTACAGCCATTGATAACCACAAACGTTCAATAAACATTGGAGCAGGTTTGTTAAGCAACGAGTCAATAGAATCTTATCGTTGGTTGCTCGAAGCTTTTTTGAAAGCACATGTAAAACACCCTCAATTAGTGTGTTAACAGACCAAGATCCAACAATTCTACAAGTCGTTGAAGCAATATTTCCTACTTCTAATCATCGTTTATGTATGTGGCATATTATGAAAAAACTACAAGCCAAGATGTGTATATTTTGGTTAAAGTTAACATGCAACATGTTTTATTCAACAATGATTTACACAACTTACATATTTTTAAAAATGATTAGCATACATATTGTTTATTCATAGTTAATCTTATAAAATTCAAATTTTTTTTAGGTTTTAGCCGATTTTTTGAAAAACACTGATTTTCAAAAGCGTTTTACTAAGCTTGTTTGGAATGTCTACATTGAGCCTCAAGTCTTTGAATCAAGGTGGAAACTGCTTATGAGAAAATTCAAACTACAGGACAAAAGATGGTTCAAAGACATGTACAGGGATTGAAAGCTTTGGATTCCAACCTATTTTAAAGACATGCCACTACACGGTCTGATGAAAACTACTTCAAGGTCTGAAAGCGTCAACTCATTTTTTAATAAATACTCTAACTCTGGTAGATTTCTTATCTATTTCATGATGAACTACGACATTGCCATTGGAAAGCAACGAAATGCTCAACAGAAACTAGAACATGATACAAAAAATGCAAAGCATGAAATGACGCTTCCAAGTGGATTACTAGAACATGTAGCTGCGGTTTACACTAAAAAAATTTCTATGAGGTCAAAAAGGAAATATTTAAAGCAGTCTGGTACTATTCTATCGACAGTGATGAAAAGATTGATGGGTGGCAAGTTGTTATGATTACACAAATGGATAAGAGCAAACAATTGAAGATAAAATGCAAGGTTATATTCATCATTTAAACGCTATTCATTAGTGATTATACAAGTATATTATATCATTATTTTTAAATTACATATACTTGTTTCAATATTATGCAATAACCACCAACTAATATGTTAATTCAATCAGTTACTAACATACATTATTTTTATTATACAATGTAGGTTGAACTAAAGTTGCTTGAAAAAGAAGTTAAATGTTCATGCAATCACTTCATACGTACTGTCATTTTGTGTCGTCATATTTTTGTTGTATTGAAAAACAACCATGTTGAAGAGATTCCAGAGCAATATATTCTAAGAAGATGGAGAAGGGATGCAATTTCCAGCCATTTGCTTGCCATGAAACATGTTGACATGGAAACAGAAGATGACACCTTTAAACTTCTAACAGAGGCATACAACAATGTTGAATACTGCTTGGATCATTTCAAAAGAAGCAAGGAAAAATTGTTGGAATTTGTTGAAAAAACACGTTAGTTGAAGCAGGCAGCATTGGAGTTTGGCAGTTCAAACCAAACGTCACTTGATAATGATGAAGAAGAAATTATTTGGATGCTTGGAATACGCAGCATTCCTGATGAAATAAATATCCATCCACCTTCATCTATACATACCAAAGGTAGTAGAACTAAGAAAAGAATGGTTAGTGCTATTGAGAAAGTTGTTGCAGCTGCAAAGAAAAAACCCAGAATATGCACAGGTTGCAATCAATATGTTAACCATAATTGGAGGACTTGCAAAGTCAAACTTGCACGAGAGTCAAAAACAAGCTTAAAATGGCCCATTCGGTTGCCCAATAGATTTTACTTTTCTATTAGATTTATGAATAAGAATATGTTTCTACGATTTAGTATGTTATGTTATCTTAAAACAGCTTCATTATTTTTAATGTTTTGTTTTATTCAACAATGAATAATAGCATTACCAAATCTGGTAATCCTAACAGATTAATGATATTAAACAGTTTGCACTTAGAATAGATATATTTTTCCTTTCTTGAAATTATAAAACATCAATCATTATAGACTATAGTCATATACAATTTAAGCAGTATTCATAGTTTGTTAGTAGTATATCATAATAACAAATGTTTGTACGATTAACTTTTAAAACACCTATACATCATATATTGATTTACGTTTGCTTTTGGGTAAATTTTAGTAATAAGTTTAACCATTATCGACTTTAAACCCTTTGTTATAGTCAATAATGAATAATATCATAAATACATTAATTACTTTCAACATATTAATGATATGAAAATTGTTAAATACTCTTCTGTTAAGTTAAAACAATTTGCATTTAAAGTATAATATGTTATGAATAAATCATGTATTTATGCTATTATTCAATATTTGAATAACAACATACTTTAATATATAAAAGCAACAACAATCATTATAGAATATTGTAACGCCCGTAGATCCGGGCTAGTCAATTTAGAGGTAATACGGATCGAAAATGACTTTTCTACAAAAGATTATTTAGAATAAATAATCTTAACCAAGGTGTAGAATATGTCACAAGGTTTCCGTACATATAAAGAGCGTCGAAATCGGAGTTATAACGAAGAAGTTATGATCCGTCGAAGTTTCGCGACGGAACCGGCACGACACCGGGAAGCATAAATAGTGATTTTACGATGGAGGACTTTTTAGCCTTAATGATCTAAACGAAAGTCATATAATATGTTAAACCGAGAAAATTCATAAAAAGAACGCCCAAATCTGACTTCGTATGAAGAAGTTATGATTTTTCTAAGATTCGGCTTAGCAGTGTACAGCCCGAAACTTGAATTTTAGTTCGAGCGGTTTTTGGATTATGCGACCTAAATGAGAGTTGAAGATCTCATTAATAGGAACTTAACAATAAAAAGACAGACGAAAACAGAGTCCGTATGAAGGAGTTACGAATTCTTCGCGGTCATTTAACAGTCTAAACGCCTCGTACTGTTAAATTTAAGACCGGCCGAGAATTAGCTGACGGAGTCAAAATGAAAGTTGTAGATATTATTTTTACCTACGCGTGGATATAAATAACGTCAAAAACGGAGGTCGTATGTGAAAGTTACGGATTTTAGAAGTCGGAAGTGTGTTGTGCGAAAATGGGTGATGTGGCACAATCTTGGCCATTGCTTTCTCCCCAAGTCTTGCCACTAAATGGTGACATGTGGCACCAGGTTCAGCCATTTTCACCCTATAAATAGAACCTCTCCCACTCTCATTTTCTTCACACCTTTCTCATTCTTTCTTCTCTTTACTCTCTCTCTAGAACCTCTCTCTAGCCTCGAAATTCCCCGAAAAGCCTAGGGAACCTCCCTAGCACGAGGCGGAAGCACCGGAGTGCTCGACGGCTCCGAGAAGAAGAGCTTTTCGGCTCGGAAATGCTGCTCCAAGCAAAGCCTGTTTTTCTATAAAACCAACTGTAAGTGAGCTACGCCTACACTATTTTCAATATAGCTTTTATTTAATTATAGTAACGTTATTAGGAACTTATAATAAATACTTGGGCTATTATTATGGGTTATATAAGTATTTTTTTAATGCTTATATAATAGTAATAATAGCTAGACTAATAATTAGTCACGGTAAATATTAGACTAAAATCTAGTGGTGATAATACTAGGTTTCGTCGAAGGAAATTATTTCAAAGTAAACTAAGCGTTGTCCGACTACCCAGTCACCACCTTCTCAGGTGTGTGCATAGTTACTTTCATCTTACACATGGATATGAAGTATTTTATATAAACTATGTGTTATGTGTGCATATTATCTGTATACTTGTTGTCTATGTTGGATGAACGTTTTTATACATGTTTTAGATGATTTAAACTGTATACGTATTTTATATACACAAATATGTTGGGTATGATACGGATAGACGAATGATGAGAGATAAAAGATGATGTGAATAAACATTGGCAGCTATAGATTTAGTGCCTAACTAATAAACATCGGCAGCTATGGACTTAGTGCCTATTGGACAAATACCGGTAGCTATGGATTTAGTACCTGTTAAGGAATTGGTAGCTATAGACTTAGTACCTATTAGATAAACACTAGTAGGTATAGATTTAGTACCCGATGAATAGACTATAGCAACTATGGAATTAATGCTTTATGAACGAACATTGGCAGCTATGGATTTAGTTCCAGTCCTATAACCCTGGAAGTAAGGGACTTCGGAATAAACGAATGCAGAATAGATGAGCCTTAGGATAAATCCTTAAGAGTAAAGAAGATAATGAGGATGGGTAATTAGGTTGATTGTTTGATTGTTTAAACATAATAATTATATTATTGTGGGTTGAAAATCCTATGTACTCACCAGGTTTCTCAACCTGACCCACTCGGTTTATTTATATCACAGGTGTTGATATGAAGTCACATTACACTGAGAGATTAAAGAGATGTAGATCACTAGTGTAAATAAATGTAAGTTATGTTTATGCTTATGTTCCTGTATTGACGATGACATCCCAAACGTTTTAAAATGAATAAAATACGTTTCTTCGAAAATGTTTTAATAACGTATTTATCGTGTTTTTCTGGGAACGAATTACGCAACATTTTTATTAAAAGAAGAACTCTGATTTTTATAAAGCATAAACAAAATCGGTCTTTTCTGGCCGTGAAAATGGGGATGTCACAAATATAGATATATTCATTTAAATTATTAAAAATTCTAATTGTATGGTCATAGTAATAGAACATATTAACAAATATTTGTTAGTAAGAATCATTCCTGAATATACACTAAAATTATACCAGTCATGTTAATCATCATTTTTTGACATAATTTAATTTTTCAAATGTTAATGTAAAATTCTAACTACTAAAATATCACCATTCCATTACTAAAATTAGCAACCCAAAAGAAGCTATTGTACGTTCTGCAACCCAAGTTAATATCCTTAGCATACAAAACCATTGTTTTAAAACTATCCAAAAGAAACCATCGAAGTCATAACTAAAATAACTTTTTTAACAGAATTAACTTAAATCATCCAATCTCCTGTGAATTTGTTCCTTTGCAATGGCCAACAGTTGAGAACGTTGTCTTGAAGGAATCTTGTGCAATTCATCAACCTTTTGCAGCACATAATCCTTTTGCAAATTATATTCATGAGTGACGATTTTGTATAAATACTTTGTCCTCAGTTTAACAAGTTGATCATCTTGTGCAGAAGACTCGTTCTTGAACCCAACTTTAAACTCATTCATATTTCCACCCATATACGTTTCCATGTGACGCATCGTAAACACACCACAATCAATGTTGTTGTTTATTGTTCTCCAAGGCATTTCCAATCTATGTGGCATCACATGTGAAAACATCTAAGCTTTTAGATGATTCTGAGATTTTAAGTAATCAACTATATACTCTTTCTGAAAATGTAAAAAACAATGTCAACACATATGAAATTTTATTAACTATGTAATGTAAATTTTATTAATCACTTACAATGATTTGGGGCAACTGACCATATCTCTCATTATTATGATCATCAACTTTGTTGTTGTCAATGATTACAAACTCTGGGTGTTGTAGATTGATCACAAAAAGGAAAATGTGGAATGAACGGGTGACAGGTAGGAAAAGCTGCAAAGTTTATTCATTTACATGTATTCACTTTATTTAATATTCATATTTGATCAATGATAAATAAACACATAAGTAAACTATTCAGATATATCTCTTACCAATCCAATAAAACGTAGGCTTGTGTCCATATCTTCAATAGAGAGCACCAGATTCTCAATGAATTTATCTTTACGTTGACTTTCTGTTAAATCACTTTCAAGATACAAATTATGTGATCCATTTTTAAAAACTCATTAGCTTATTTATATGTTGTATTTAAAAAATAGTATAATCAACATTGAACAATATTAAATTATACCGTCACATCTGTCTTGCAATAAACTCTCAGAGGCGATTCAGGTGCACGCTTACTTTCATCAAGATTCAACACTTGACTCCAACAATCAATGACATGACCAAATAGTTCACATGTTGGGAAAAAACTTTCCATGTGAAACCTCTGAGAAGAAAAACCATCCAAAGTGTGGAAAACTATATCACTGCAAAAGACGTGACCAATTAATACTATTTTTAATAAGCAACCAACAAAATTAAGTAATTTAAACATATTTTAAATGCAACTTACTTTGGCTCTCCCTGGAGAGAGAATATCCATTCTTCTACACGTTTTTCTTGTCGTGGAACTCCTTTGATGATATCAACAGCCCGTATAATGTAAGGAGATTTCATATATTCAGATTTCATGTGAGGCATGTACCCTCTTCTACTAACCCAATGTTCATCATTGTTGAATGGTACTACAGACAAAGGAATTGGCATTTCCATTTTAGATGGTGGTGTAGTCTTAAAAGATTTTCTTCCAGATATATTCGTGAAGTCTGCATATTCCTGTGACATCTGAATACTACATTTTGCTATCGGGGAGTTGTCAAACTGGTTGTGAGTTGTTGCTAGACTTAGCGTACGTTCAATTTCAGCCGCGTTATCATACCACCATTGAGATTGTTCTGGTTCCTCTGATGCGGAAACTTCACTGAACAAATCATTTACTTTGTTTTTCCATTCTTTGACCAACTGATTCTCAGGATATTTCTTGACAGCATCATTTATTTTGTCTTCCAACACTTTCTTTTGCTGCAATAGCATGTCGTACATCTCCTTTATTGATGAAATAATTGTCTAATTAGGTCACCACAATAGAATTACGTTACAAACCAAATAAAAACATTAATATGTAAGTTAGTATTAATTAATACTATAGTAACTCATAATTCAAATGTGAATAAGTAGTAAACTACCTCAACACTTTCCCCACTTCCACTAAAAGTTTCCTCTCCTTGATTTCTCTACGAAAAGTAATACAATATTAGTTTTTGTACTAATATCTTATTATTTATTAATGATTATATTATATTAATACCTTACACCTTCTACCACTACTTTTAACACCTCATGCATCATTTCCCTGTCAATAATGTATGAATATAATTAATTTAGATTATACAAAATAACAAATTTTAAATTTCATATGCATTATTTAATATAATAAAATATTACCTTAACTTTTTCTTGCACTACATTACTAGTTCTCGATGATCCATTGATGACTTGAAATGGTTCTTGCAATTCACCCATACCCAGACCTATTGTCCTACACTCTACTCTTTCTCGCTCACGTAGTTTATCAACATTCCAAAAACATATTGCTGGTCTGCCTTGTACAATCTTCACTGAATCGCATCGAACACTTTCTACGTATAGCAACTACAACAAAGACAAATAAAAAAATGTATTAATTAAATACACTTTAATGAATCTGCACACATAAGTCTACCAATATTGAATGATAGCTAAATTTAAAACAACTCTTACCAACAGTAATATAATTGGCCCAACATAGAATCCTTTTTTGCTGTTTGGATTCCATGCACTTTTTGTCTCCTTAAGGCAATCAAAAACATATCCACACCAATCAATGTCACTTAGATCCAGGTCTTTCGTGACTTTTGATAACATGGACAGGTCACATGTTCCCAAGCTCATCGATTGACCTAGTGTATTACACAGTAGGACAAAGATGTTTACTTTAAAGAGTAAATCCGTACGTGTTGATTGCATAATAACTTGTTGAACTGCCCTTGGTCTAATATTATCTTCATCATCGACTTGTTTCCTCCAAACAGTTATCGTGGTTTCTGTGACTTCTCTATAAGGCATGAACTTTAATGTAACATCTCCCAGAGGCAGACCCAACATTTCGTGAATAACTTGCTGATTAATTGGTATCTCTCCATGATGAAGGTTGAGTACCATCTTATCTGCATCAAAATTCCTTACAGTATAATGCCCCATAATTGATGCACACCCATCCACTTTCATATTCAACAAATGCCCCAGACCAATAAAAGAAATATACGCTTCTTGTTCCTTGCTAAGGTTATGCATACAACTGTACAAAACATTTGGAGATGTCCGTACTTGTATTCACCTTGCTTCTTCTGCATCATTTCCTACAACTTTAGGCAGTTTCCTTGATTTCACTACATTTCCTTCTTTATTCTTTTGTCTTTTAAATTTTTTCACATTTTCTTTGTCATCATTTTTGAATGAAGTATAATGCATTCTCTTTTTCCTTGTTACCACAGGTTTGGCATCTTCAAAATCAGAGTCTTCAACTTCATCAAGCTTCTTGAAAGTAACATTATCTTTTCCTGTTAAGACATATTTAACACAATAAATGATTATAAATAAATTACAAAAATAATACTATACTAAATTTAATTAAAAATAAATCATTACCTAAACATGAGTTTAAAACAACACCTTCATCACCTTTTATTTTACATCTATCAAACCGTCTTTTTGTTCTCAATTCATTTTCCCTATGTATTCCACTATCTTCTGTCATGTCATAGCTTTCAATCAAACCTGCCAATATGTAGACAACATAATCATAACTGAAGACACTTTAATATACAACTTACATCACATGAAATCATCATTGATACCTTTTTGTTTCTGTATCTGTTTTTTTAGATTTTGAAAACCTTGATTTTCCTGCACCAAACTTCTTCACATTGACTTTGGGTTTCATGTTCTTTTTTATTAATAAATATAAAACAACACAAGTTATTAAAACTAACTACAACATCAAACTCTAAATAAATTTATTTTTAAACAAATACATTACTTGAATCTGAGCTCAAAACTACAACTGTAAGATCCCTTCGCATTGAATTATCTGGTGTGCGATTAATACGTTCCCCCACCTGTCCAAAAAATAAGACACATACTCACTATAGATTCCAATTGATATTTAACATTTTAAATTTCATTTAATCATCATCACCACCACTTTGTTTTTTAGTTTTCTTCTTAGGTGTTGAACACTTCTTTTGTCCTTCTCTTCTAATCCGAGGTTGTACTATTTCGTTTCCTTGATTGTCTTCATCTTCAATATCAATAAGCAATGGATTGGATTCTTCATTAGTGAATTTGCTGAATGTCGTCTTTAGTAATATCCTCTTGCTTTTCTTTCTACCTAATAGTAGAATTAAAATACGTTACTCATTTATAACTCATAATTGAATCATTAACAACTCAAATAATCATAAATTATCCCTACTAAACACAAACTCAATCAAACACATACCCAAGAACAAAGTAATGTTTACAATAATCATCACTTAACAAATAGTGTAATTAACTTACTCACAAAAACCAGTAGGGACTCCTACACCATTATTCTTTACTTAGTACATCATGTACAGGATCAAAACCACATACATACTCAATAAAGTACCCATTCACAACCGAATATGCCTTTAACAATCTACATAATATACAACCAACAACAAGGATTAATACTAGAAAAGTATTTGTGTAGCACAAACAATCAGATTTTACAAATAATCAATAGTAATGACATTTATACCCTTCCTTATTATTTTTCTATTAAACATCATTCACAATCGAATACTAACATCAATTACTCCTCTTGTCCTACTGATAATCTACTTACTTTGCCATTCAACAATACGACTCTGAAAACAAAAGCAAAAAAAGCCCTAATTTTTGGGTTTTCTTAACCTTACTTCAGTTCAAAGTAGTCGACAACGACAACACATGTATCTGCATCTTAAAACTTTCAATCACAATCATAAACGATTAATTTTTAAATACATTCAATATCAAAGTACCTTAACTTCGAAACTCATCTACAATTACCATTTTCATTTAAACATTCACATACACCAACGTTTTATTTGTAAAATACAACCTTTAAATCAACAATCATTAACGATTTAGAGTCACTACAGTTCATAATCGATGATATAAAGAAAAAACGAAAAAACCGAATTCTAGGGTTTTAAGAATCGTTAAAATGTACACATTAACAAAAAAATAAACCCACTACTAAACCCGTTTTCCACTCAATCGACATTCAAAAAAGATTAGAACGCTTACTTCTTCCACTTCGGTTGATGATCGACGACATTCCTCCACCTTCAACCCTTCATAGAGTTCTGAATGCACAAATCTCTTGACGGATGAACAGTAGTTATCGAGTGTTGTATAAATGTTTAGCTGTGACGATATTTTGCATTGTAGATACGATCGAATCCTCCAAAAGGTTAGAAGTTAGCTATGATTACTAAAACATAGGAACGGTTTCTTTTAATTGTCAAACTTACCTGATATATTCAAAATGGATGACATAATAAAATTACTTGAATACCCTTTTATATTTTTTTTAATTAAACAATTTAAATTCATTTAATATTATGTTTAAATTAATGATTAATGACATCCTTAGATTTTAAATATTTAATGTACCAGATTTGTTATCACGTTCTCATCCTTTTAGGCGTTCTCATTTGATCCTTTTCCTATATATATATATATATATATATATATATATATATATATATATATATATATATATATATATATATATATATATATATATATATATATATATATATATATATATGAGTATTTGATGTAAAAGTGGGTGCCAAAAATAAGTTTTTTAGTAAAAAAAATCAAATTTTTTAAGGGCTTTATAGTACTAAAAGTGGTGGGACCCACCTCCAAGTGGGGCCATGCACCCCACTTAAAGTGGCTGCCTCCGCCACTGTTTGCAACTGTCTGAGAGCATATTTCGGCAAGTAGTTGGTTGTCTTCAACTTCTTTTCTTGTTAAAGTTCTGCACACCAACAACTAGAATAGGCTTAAAAAGATGAAGAGTTTTTTATCTATTGATTCAAGAGGTGCCAATCTTTTGTGAAGTGGAGCCAATTACTTTTTTAATATCAATAGATGCAAAAAAATTTATATATATATATATATATATATATATATATATATATATATATATATATATATATATATTTAATAGATGTAGCCACTCCAAGTGGTGCCATACACCCCACTACCCATAGGGTAACTCTGCTACTGATATATGGGGCATCTTCAATTGACGTATCCAAGAGTGACACGTAAGCCACGTTAGGGGCATCTTCATCTACCTTTAGTGTGACTCCCTAACCTTGTGTCCGGATACAATAGCTTAGGACAGGGGCGTGAGGGGCGATACCGACGGTAACATTTGTCAGTATCAAAGACCAAGACCCCCACCCCCAATTTTGGGTATGTGTGCCAAGCCAATATGATTGTAACCCATAAAAATAACTTTTATTTATTTAATTTAAAAAAAAAACTTTGTAAGTACTAATCTAAGCTTGTCATTTTTTAGAAAAAAAATATGTCTCCCAATTTTCAACCAAATAAAACCTTTTACACGTGCAAAATGGATTTATCTGATAATGCATATGTGCATATCACTCACATCTTAGGGATGTCAACAGGACCAAATGAGGGCAAAAATAGCATCCTCCACCCCATAATTCTTCTATTTCCCCCAAACCCGAATCCAACCTCGATCTTGAAATCCCTCGTTTCCCGCCCTGAATTTCAAAACCACCTCGATCATGCCCATGTTTCCCCGTTCCTCCACCCCCCCCCCCCGGGAATCCCCCGTTTGGCCCAGAATCCTATGTTTAACCTTATTTTTTCACCCCACTTATTTCGTTAACCTTACATAAGTTATTAATATACAAAACTTACATTATATAATGGCTACTCTAAGTTTAATTTTTATTTTTATAAATAAGATAGTTAAATATAAGGTAATATTTCTAGGGCCTATGAGGTATTCGGGATGGAAATCCGGCCCCTGAAAATTAAACAAGGGTAAACTTGCCCCTGCTCCCTCTCTTCGCTCCCCTGAAACCAAAAGAAATGTAAAATTACCCCCAATTCCAAAACGGGGTTCTACGGATCAGGGTTCCATAGAGCTTTTTACATCCCAATTCACGTTTTATCTGCTTCATCAAGTTGAGACGACGAGTCTTCATCTGATAATATCTATGCACATAACATGTGTAATGCCCCACTTTTCAAAAGAAAATTTTCATATGTGCATATCACTCATATCTTAGGGATGTCAACGGGACCAAATGAGGGCAAAAATAGCATCCTCCACCCCATAATTCTTCTATTTCCCCCAACCCCGAATCCAACCTCGACCTTGAAATCCCTCGTTTCCCGCCCCAAATTTCAAAACCACCTCGATCATGCCCATGTTTCCCCGTTCATCCACCCCCCCCCCCGGGAATCCCCTGTTTGGCCCAGAATCCTATGTTTAACCTTATTTTTTTCATCCCACTTATTTCGTTAACCTTACATAAGTTATTAATATACAAAACTTACATTATATAATGTCTACTCTAAGTTTAATTTTTATTTTTATAAATAAGATAGTTAAATATAAGGTAATATTTCTAGGGCCCTATGAGGTATTCGGGATGGAAATCTGGCCCCTGAAAATTAAACGAGGGTAAACTTGCCCCTGCTCCCTCTCTTTGCTCCCCTGAAACCAAAAGCAATGTAAAATTACCCCAATGCCAAAACGGGGTTCTACGGATCAGGGTTCCATAGAGCTTTTTACATCCCAATTCACGTTTTATCTGCTTCATCAAGTTGAGACGATGAGTCTTCATCTGATAATATCTATGCACATAACATGTGTAACGACCCGCTTTTCAAAAGAAAATTTTCATTTTTAATTAACCAACATTTCCATAAAGTATGAAGTAATATTAACCATTATTTTCAAAATTTATAACATTAGCATTTTATTTAAGACATCAGAGTGTCCCATCAAAACAAATGTCGGAGAGTGCACATCGCGCCATCAAGCCTTGCCCTTGCCCTTAGGCTTAAATATACCTGAACCAAATCAACAAATTGTAAGCTAATGCTTAGTGAGTTCCCCAGAGCATACCCCACACATAATCCACACAACACATATCACATTAGCTATAAAGCTACATATATACCATAGAAGCCATGCATATAAACATATAAGGATGTTGTGGAAACCTTCCAAGGTCTTACACCAAGTGCCACGAGAATCCCCCACATGGTCTTTACTAGCCGCCACTGGAACCCCCACATGGTCTTGGCTAATTACCGCGGGAACCTCCACATGGTCTTCACTAATCATGCAAGTATCATACGAGCTAAACATATATATATATATATATATATATATATATATATATATATATATATATATATATATATACACACACACACACTAGATAATCGTGGAAAACCTCCAAGGACTTATACTAAATGTAGGGGTGCAAACGAGCCAAGCTACTCGCGAGCTACTCGAGATCGGACCGTTAAAAGCTTGACTCGAAATCGATTTTAAACGAGCCCGAGCCGAGCTCGAGCTTAATATTAACCTCATTTATTAAACGAGCTCGAGCTCAAGACTATGTCATTAAGCTTGATTAGGCTCGCAAGCCTAAACGAGCCTTTATATAATATAATTTAATATTATTTAAATATGTTAAAATAAAAAACATATTAGGGGAATTATGGATTTAGGGTATTAGTAAACGAGTTTCTTAACGAGTTCGAGCCGAGCTTAAGCTTATTTAGACACATCAGATCAAAAACGAGTCGATCCCGAGCCCGAGCGGAGCTTGTATAATTCTTTACGAGCTCGAGCCGAGCTCAGTACAAGGGAGCTCGAATCGAGCCTTTTATAACTTAAACGAGCCCGAGCCGAGCCTGGCCAAGCTCGGGCTCGGCTCGGCTCGTTTGCACCCCTAACTAAATGTAATGGGAACCTCCTCATGGTCTTAATATACTGCCCCGGAACCCCCTGGGGACTTTCATACAGATGTCATAGTGACATATCACATAACCAACTATCGATCAATATACCATTAAATGGGCGGGCCTTGGTGCCTTCGACCCATTGGTATGGTGAGAAGACTCACCTCAGTCTGCTGAATCCAAAAGCTGCTCTCCTCACATTCTGTACCCACCCGTGTTGAATAATCATATTATTACTCAAGGTTAGGACTAAACACTTATTCAATTGCAAACCCCCAACCCAAGTTTTTTTCATATTAGACCAAAGAGTCTTCTTTTGATAATGGGTCCAAGGTCCATGTCCAAAATTATTAATGGGCCCCATGGCCCAACAAGTCCCAACCAAGATATCCATGGCCCAAAACAGATCAGTTGGCCACCAACTACAAAACATGATCAGGCCCGATGACTAGTTAGGGCCCAAAAGCATGCAAGCCTAAAATAAGTCCGAGTCGATATGTTATGCGTACGCCTTGAATACCACCCTGGTATGTGCGGCGTACTGAGTCACTGGGCAGTACACGATGCGTACTCTAAGTTACGCCCAATGTACTAACAAATGAAGCACTTTCTTCCATTAAGTACTTAATACTCGATGTTATTACATTCAGTATCAGATCTGAGCTCATTAAGACGTCATAGGGCATAAAGTTGGCAATTTTATGACCTTGCATGCTATATGGGACATAAGAACTTCATTCTTCACATTAGGACTTCATATAACGCTTCAAACTCATGCATGGAGTCTATATACTCCCCAAGCTTGCACCTTTATGCACTTAGTGTGATTATAAAGCTGAGATCTAACCATTTCAACCTCTTGAGTTGCTCAACTCTCAAAAAGAGGTCCAAAACCAACTAAAGGGACCATAGAGAAAGCCCTAGCTGGATCTATTGAATAAGATTAGGGCCGGTCCAAGCTAGTTTTGGGCCTAGGGCGAAAGTAAAAATGAGGCCCCTTAAAAAATAAAAGATTTATAGTTAAACAACTACAATTAATAGTTAATTTTTTCAGTAGTTTTTACCAAAACACAAATGACCACCACAACGAAGCTATTTTTAATATACAAGAGCTTCTATATTTCTTTTTTGAACGAAAAAATTAAAATTCAAAAAGAAAAACCAGTGGGAAGCTAGAAGTATACATAGCAGCTAGACAACAAATAAGATAAAAGAAAAAAAAACTAAACAAGGGATAAAACAAAAAAATAAACACCATTCCATGCAACCAACACCAAAATATGAAAACTCAAAACCATTAAGCAACAATCAGCAGCCACGCCATCCTTTGAACTCTCCAAGGCCAAAATACAAGTGACATCACCATCAAAAACCAATCTTGAGTATATTCAGCTAGGACTAAAACTCCACCAAGTTAGTAAAAAAGGCTTACAACATGAGTAATTTCAAGAGGGGCAATTTCGTCCAAGTAAGACCAAAAGGAACAAAACCACCTTCCATTTCCTATTTTTACTACTTTATTTTCCACAACCAAAATAATCCTTATGTGAAGGGTAGTTTAGTCAAACCAACACGAATAAGCATCAAGAGCCAAAAATATATGACAATCCACAACAATAGCAACAAACATTATAATCTTCACTAGTTTTAACAACCAAGTTTTGGAGCTTCTCTAAATATAACTGTAAAGTTTAGTGACATTTTTATTATCTCAGGATAACAACTCTCTTTAAGTACCAAAGAAACACATTTGTTGATTAAAGTAGGCATTCTATATGCCTTCTGATATCCATAAATAAGACATTTTGGATGCCTTTTGATCTCACCACACAAAGCTATTGGTATGATCTAAACCTACTGTTGTGATCTAAAATCTATAAGTACTAAAAACTTACAATATTAATGAAAAACAAATAATGAAATAAACATACAACAAAGAACACAAACAATCAAAAACAGAACAAAAGAATACATGAAAAAACTAGAAACAAAAATAAAAGAGTGAGATACAGCACGAGCAAGAGCCAAAAAAGTCAGATACATGAGCCCAGTTCGGAAATCAAAATCAAATATCTTGGTTACACTATTCAAAATATCAAATTAGATGTTGGATTAGCAAACCGTTCAAATTTTCTGGATTAACAACACTTACAATTATTAAGTTCTTCATAAATCAGAACATTCGAAAATCAAATATTGAAAAATAACTTCAAAATAAAAATGAGAAATCAAAAGTTAGAAGCACTTTAATACAATTATTCAAATATCGGCTAGCGTTGGGTTGAAAGATAAACTTCAGAAATCGTTTTATTTGTTTATCAAAAATCAAAATTCACCATCACATTGATTATCATTAATTGAACTTCAGAGAAACGGATTTTAGAAATCTAACTTTAGGTTGATTTGAGAGGTCGCTTTGGGACGGGAGAACCAGGAGATTCTCAAGAAGTCGAACCGGAAATGACGAACTGGAAACGAGGAGACACACAAAAAAACGTATGTAAAATATAAAATTCCAATGTTTACAAGGTTCAAACATGGCCCTCTTTTGTTAAAAAGAAGAAAATATAAAATTCCAAGATTTACAAGTTTCGAACATGGCCCTCTTTTGTTAAAAAGAAAAAAGCCTAAGTGCTTTATCCATCTCAATTACACAGGTGTTTATTTTTAATATGAATATATGTATTTATATTATTTAAAACTATATATACATTATTCATAACTTGCAGGGGCACCGGTATTTGGCGAGGCCCAGGCGGTCGCCCAGCTTGCCCTACCCTTAGGGTCGACCCTGAATAAGATGACAAGATCAAAGCTTTATACCTCAAGAAGCTCTTCAAGGTGAGCTAGATGTAGATTCTTGAAGTTCTATAACCCTCTCGTGCATGATTACTTCGATGCGAATCTCGTATATGGTGTTGACATATTCAGAAGATAGTTTCATATTTGAAGATAAAATTCCTACAAATAGTTAATCTGCATCGGCATTTCCATTTTTTAGATTATCATAGGATGCTAGATGCAAAAAGGAGTTTCATTCTTCCATTACATGCGTGCATATCTGCAATATGCCAACTAGCATATGAGACAGTTCCTAACTTACATGATGAGTATTTGAATATGTCTGAAATAAATTATGAGACAGTCTAGAAACATTTTGTATATGTACTATTTAGTTGTATGTAACATCCCAAAATTTTCAACCAAAATTTTCCTTAAAACCCAGAAATAGAACAAACTAAAACCGATTTCATAAATAGTATGGGAAAAACGTCCATAAAATTAAAACCATGAATCATGTCAATTATATATCATACTTACGGAAAACAAAACATACCAATCAAATACGAATATAGTCAACCTGCATGTTAACGTATCCCTCTAGGAATACACCAAAGATAACGGGACAAGTATCTGAAGGATGGCCTAATTGATGCTCATTATCCGACGTAAGTGCTAGGCTCTCTCCCTCGCCCTTGAGGCCTTGTACTTAGGCCCCAATGTTCTAATGTCAAGGCCCATAATAGGCCAAAACAGTACCAACCACTCCCTAGAGCGAAAAGTGTAACGCTCAGAGCACTGCTCTTGGGTGGTTACACACCAATATCAGATAACCGCTAGTGGTGCATGATTCGCCAATATGACGTGTCCACGTCCTGACAATCTAGATAAAACAAAAAGTATTGTCGGGGACATGCTCCCTCGACGATAGGTATAAAAGAGATCCTTCTTCTCCAGAAGAAAGGATCCTCTCTCTCTTCTCTCTCTCTCTCTCTCTATATATATATATATATATATATATATATATATATATATACCACAAACAAAACCCTAATTCTCTCATACAACTTCTGACTAGACCATTGGAGTCTCGTTCTAGGACCCCTTCTCGGACAATGACTACCGAAACTTTCTTTTCTGTGATCGAAGACATATCACAACATTTTGGAGTCATCCTAGCATGAAATCAGAGATACAAAAGCTTAAAACGACACTAGACAACCGCAATGATGGGAAAGGCCCCTGCAGCGTCCAACGCAAGGGGGGAATGAGCCCACTCAGATCAATGTTGTCACTCGATGGCACACTACCATCTGTCTTAGACAGAGCCACCACCCGCACGCTAGAAACACAGAAGTTAGGTCCAATAACAGGAACCACAACGGTAGCAATCGCCACCTTATGGTGACCGTTGCCCGTCACAACAGAGCAGCCGGTTACAACCGTAACCGCAACGTCTCAGTCAAAAGCGATTTAGTTGTCGTAACTGGCGGTTTTCCAGTCACAACCACCAACCCAGCTGTCACACCCCGAACCAGAATGGTTGAAATGTCTGGGGGCGGGTGACTTAATCTTGTAATATCATAACAATTGAATATGAATGAAACGTAGCAACCATCATCATACATAAAATATACCAACATGTATTGTTTACAACTTTAAATTTGTTCATGAAAATACATCCAAAATAACATAATGTATGATAATCCAAAAATACAACAAATTTCCAATGTCCATGGCTGAGAAACCTGCTTATTGTGTTCCTGAGAATACAAGTCATTTTGAAAAGCGTCAACATAGAATGTCGGTGAGTTTCATATGTAACATCTTATTCTGGATC